CAGCTGAGGATCTTTTCTGCTCCCCCAGCAATTCAGTCCCCCAGGCTTTGGCGGCCTGCTGTCCCATTTACGATCTCTTGCCAAACCCTTTGAGTTTCCATCTTTTTCCTGTCTGTCTGTCCTACCCACTACAGGTCTCCATGGGGAATAAATAAATCTCAGACTGATCAGAAACATACTGTGCATCAGGATACTTAGCACTGACTGCCCCATTCCTGCCTTGTATAGTTCTCACATGTAGCTAGGTGTGAGGAGGGGACTTCAAAGAACTGAAAAAAAAAAAAAAAACCAAACCCCAAAAAACCAAAACCCTGCACATTTCCATGCACAGAAGCAGACTTAGAGGCTGATTTGCTCTAGGGATTTGTGACCAAAGCTCACTGTCAGCTACTGTGAGATGGATTCAAAGATCTTTCCTACTCTAAACACCCAAAGGTGGGATGGAGCAAAGCCATGTCTGGCAACCTGCATCAGAGAGGGGAGAACTGGAGCTTTCACTTCCCTTTTCTTTGTGCATCTGCCCCTTGTCTGTGCTTTGTGGTATGCTCAGTGCTGCATCTCCAAGGCAAAGCAACGAGGGGCACTTTTGCAGCAAGCAAGGACATTGCTACAGGGACACTGCCTGCATAGCAAATTTGGCTGCCTATCCTGTACCTCCAACCACTCTGCTTTTGAAGGCAGCACTTCTGCACAACCATGTTTGAGCTATACCTAAAAGCAGCAGCTGAGCTGGGACTCTGCCTGGGACTCAGAGTACAGAGGGAGAGTTCTCAGGAAAGGCACAGACACTGCTAGCCCTATGCAACACTCACCTCCCAGAGCCAGGAGAAGTGCCGGGGCCACAATACCTTGATCATGTACAGGGTACCAGAGTGCTGCCCCTGTACACAGCATGGACAGCAAGGCAGGAGAGAGCAGCCTATCACCAAATTGGGAGAGACTAGAATTTGTGGGTATGGAGAGGGACAGCGAACCAGTACAGCCCAGCATTCATTCCTGGCAGCCTTCCTGGTGCTTTCAGTTATCCGGACATCTGCTCTGCAGTGCCCAGCTTAATCTCTGCCATTGAGATTAAACTGCGGGCACCAGCAATTCAAAATTGTGTGGCCAGCACAGGACCCTGCTAAATGGGCAGAACTGCAATGTGCAGGGCTTCCTGTCCACACTGAGCAAGCACTGTCTACAGACCAAAATTAGCTCAGCTGGACCTGCCCTTCAGCTTCACTCAAATCCACATAGGGCTTTGTGAGCCAAACTCCCGTGGATTCAGGTGCCTAAATGGAGTCAGATGCTGAATGCCATGAAGTGGCTCTGCATGGACAGTAGCCGTAAGCTCTTGTAAGCTACAGAGTGGTTACAAACCCTATTCTCCCCAGTGTCTGCACATGCAGAGGAACATCTGCATGTGGCAAAGGGACTGTGCACCTCCTTTGACAGTCCTGCCTGACCACAGCGTGCTGCTAGCCTCACCTGTACCAGCTCCTTGGGACGTCTGATACTTACAGTAGCTTCTCCAGAGCATAGCTGCAGCAGAACAGCTCTCCATGTCAAACCACTGCTTGACCTCACAGTGCTTTCCATGCAACGGACCCATATGTGGATGCAGAGCAGACAGAGCTGCTGCACAACATGAGTTTTGCTGGAATGACACTGTGTTTGGAGAGCTTCTCCTGATCTACTGCAAGTTAACACAAGGTAACAGAGAGGTACAAGCCCTGGTTAGACATCTGAGACTGATTAGCTGTATACTTAACACTTAACTCCTATCCATCCCATCACCAACTTCAGTTTTTAGCAAGCTGCTGCTATTTCCTTCAAATATGTGAATCCCCTGTCCAACTACACACAACTCCTTGACTTGGAGACATAAACAAGGGGATGGGATCCAAACACAAGTGATGATTGTGGCAGTAAGATGAGCAGGCTGGTTTCTGTGAGTATTTCTTGGTCCTAAAAGAAAGCACAGTACAGCTCCAGCTGCTCGAAAGGGGAATCCCAATCCCCTAACATAAACAGCTTTGTGATCCCTAACAGCTCATTCGCAGCACTGCCTGAAGAGGAAATGGCGTCTGTTTTACTTCTCATGGCACTGGCATGTGAACTCTGCAGTGCTGGAGAAAGACCGATCCCTGTGTGGTCAGCACACAAGTGTGTGCATATCCTGAACTACCTGATTCCCAAAGGACACCGGTAATTTCTTCTGTCCTGCACAGAGACAAGAGGCTGTTCTGCAGGAGATACTTAAACCATTCATTTTCTTTCCATTCATGACTGTGTCAGAGAAGGCTAGTGAGCAGATCTGAGGAAGAAGAGATTAGAGAAGTTATCTAGAAGGGAGCTAGAGTGTTTGACATAGAGGGGGAATGCAGCGATCAGCTTGCACCAGTTACATGCCAGGTGATACTACAAATGTAGCCAGCACAGCCCTAAGGTTCCCACAAGAAATAGGATGTGCTTTGAATAGTCTACACTGTCATCCCACAGTCGGGACAAAGCACCGTTTAAGAGCTACCCTTGTAAAACAATAATGGGTACATCTGTCAGACAAATCCAACCCAGACTCAGCAGAAGCTTTTAGATAACTGCAGCAGCAGCATTTCATTTAAACTTACTTGAGAGAATGAGGCCACAGACAAAGAACTGGGACACATTTTCATGTTGGATAATCAAAAATTGCAGCCCTGGCAGTCTATGGACAAAGGAAGCGTTATTTTTCCCCATGTTATGATATTATTCCAAGCTGTCTCTCAGACATCGCAATAAACACTTTATCTAAACTGGGTTTGCTACAGATGTCCAGGTAGTATTGTACCAGCTGGCTGTGAACTTACCAGCCTGTCCAGAACCGGTGGATAAATACTGTCCAGCATCATTTAAGATGCACAGTGGTCACCCAAAACCCCCACATATATCCAGCCTGTGGACTGTATCAGCACGGGCACTGCCAGGCTTGGTCAGATGAAAAGTTCTCAAATACGCATTTTCATGTCATGAAACAAAAGCATTTCATAGTATGCCTAACAAAGGAGATTAAGTCTATAGGACAGCAGTTGGCTTTGCTGAAGTCTAAATATAACATTCCCTCATTAGGCATCAGTAACAGGCTATTGGCCACAAACGTGTATTTAGACTCTGGCCTACATCTAAAGAGCACATGAGTAATACCCAAAGTACTGGTTAGCTGAACCACTCTGTGCTACTCCAGCCCAGCATGTTACTGACCTGCTGCTTGGGAAAGGCTCGGCGAATTACAGGTGTATTTGTGAAGGCCATGAGATCCCTTGGTACCTGCAGCCTCCAGGTGCCCTGAAACAAACCTATATAGTGAGAAAAATCAGGATCCCTTCTCCTACTACCCCTGAAAGCTATCAACAATAAAAGGCAAGGGTGTGGACACTGACCAAACAGAGACTCACACACCTGAGCAGTGACAGTGCAAAGTATCCTATAGGACCTGCTAGCATTCCCTAAAGGGGATGCATTCGGAGCACGCTCTGGAAAGCAGGTATTTTTCTTCACCAATAAAGCAACCAACCATATTTTCCTTGGAGCCATTCCACACGTACACACACACAGAATACAGCACACAAGCACAGACTGGTTCATAAAGCAGAATTTTGTCCAGAGGCATGGGTAAAGCTTTCCTAGCTCCATCTGCTCTGACGTCTCTCCCTTGCACCCATTCATTTCTGGTCACTCCCCTTGTCTACTCGCTGCATAATGTCTCCTTTCAAATCACACCGTAGCCTCAGAATATTCTCTCTCTCACCAAAACAGGAGCTGTTTCCTTCAGAAACCTGCTGAAAATCTTTCTATGTTGGAAAGCCTTCCAGCTTGAGCACTCTCAGGCTGCTCTGGGCTCGGTCAGGTCCCCTTCCCCTGACACCTGTGCCTTTGCAATTTGCTGGAAGTGGGGCAATGTTATTTGTTTGACACACTGCCTCATATGCCAATAATATTCTGTAATAACAACAGCCATGCTTGCAAGACATTGGGTTGTCAGCAATAAGCGCAGTTGCTGCATGGATCATAGCTTAGCACTTGTGTTAGAAAGACCAGCAAGTATTTCCCCTCCTGACTATAAATTGGGAGCTCCCTCTGCAGACCTGTCCCGATCCTGCAATTTCCATACAGACAAAATGCCATTTCTGCCACTTGCCATGTCCCCAAACATGGGGGCGTCTTGGTGTCCTGCATGGGTCCTGCTGTCACTGCCAAGGGAGAGGGAACAGCTGGAGCACATGAGGCTGCAGTTTTCGTACACGTGAGAAACTGCAGCTTCTCAGGGCAGTGTAAGCAAAAGGGCAAATAATATACAGCATGGGAAGTAAGGTGGCGGCTAAGTTGAAGCCCCTGGGGGGCCTGGGAACTCAGCAAGGCAACCCCAAATCCACTGCAGAAGTGGGCAAGAAATATCCCAAGAGCAAGGCATCCCATGTCCTTGCTGAAATGAGAAGACAGCAAGCCCTGAAAGCTCGAGTTGCCAGGAAGTCCTACGCTGACTGCAAGAAGCAGCACACCTAACCAAAGCCAAAGCAGTTTTCTGACGAAGGTAACTGCAGATATAGGGCAGTAAGCCCAGTGTCCCCTCTAGCACTTCCTCCACAACTTACTAAATACAGCTCAGCATAAAATCGCTGGCCTCTGTTCCCACACAGTCCCTACACTGTCAGCGTGCTCATCCCTAATCAAGTCTATCAGAGGCCTCAAGGTGAGAGGCCCTATGCAAAGGTCATGCTTGTTTTGAGCACGTGATGTTTAAGATGGCAGCCGAAGAGAAAGGCAAGAAGGGAGAACAGGCAACAGAAAGCAAAACCAAACACATGTTCATTTTTAGTGTGTTTAATAGACTTCATAATCTACAGACGCCACAAGTCAACACCAAACTAAGGGTGCAGGAGTATTACAAAAAAGTCTTTTGCTGAAAGATGAGAAGTGACAGTGAAAAGAAGTATCAGCAAAGATTTTTTCAGAGGCATGCTGATGGAAAGGCTCGAGACTCAGAGCTCTGAGGGAAAGGCTTGCTTCAAAGTGAACATTACAAAGATTATCTCTTCACATTGTTGGTGGGTCCCATATTCAAAAAGGCACGAGAACAAGGGTGAGCCATCTGGCCCAACCCCCATGTACTGCAGATCCGAATAAGCACACAGGCCCTTGAAGAGGATGCTTGGTTTCGTCCAGTGTGCTGGATTTAAAGGGCTTTTGTTGAGGTAAATTCCTAAATCTCTTCGACCCTTTGGGTCTGTAGGATGAGCATAGAGCAACCAACTATCTTGGCATCTGGCATCAGGGGGAGGTGGGAAGGCAGTAATGCTTCCATGACATCCAGAGGGAGGTTCTACTAGCATTTCAACCCTCTGGCTTCCCTCAAAGTCCACCCCATGGTTGTAGCTGACAGCCTGGATTCTGGCTCCCCTGCTGCTCCTTGCATTGCAGTAGAGGACCTTCCTGCCACAGGTGTGCACCTCCGCTACCTGACACTCCACCGCGCTCTCCTCCCCCATGAAGTTCCCCATCTCCCACGTTGTCCCATGGTCAGAGCTGATGAAGCAGAAGGCATGAGGGGTGGGGTGTTGCTTAGGGTCCAAGATACGATAGGCATAGGCAGGAATCACAAGGCTCCGGGCCTCGTTGAGCAACTGTAATCCATGACCCGGCCCCACTGCAAAAGTGGCCCAGTTCTTGTACTCAGTACTAATGGTGCCATTGGTGACATCCTGGGCAGCGCTCCAGGTGTATCCTTGGTCCATGCTAGTGACGTAGCAGAGACGTACCAGGTTGATCTTTGTCCTGAGCTGATGCTGCTCAGAGACCTTTCCTGGGACAGCTATGAAGAACAGGATCAGTTTCCCTGAAACCTCATCGTAAACAGGACAGGGGTTCATAGATCGGTGGTTTTTCAGCTGTGCATTGACAATGGTCTCTATGCTATTCCACTGCCCGGGCCCGTGTGAAAGAGACAAGAATGAAACACACCATTACAAATAGATCCACGTTACAGTGTAAGGATGCCTGGATAAAAGTTACAGAAGAGCATGAGAAGAACAGAAGAGAAGCAAGTTAGTGGATAGAGCAAGAAACGGGAAGACAATATACTGGCATCACCAAACATAAGTGAAAATTATTTGGATGACACAATGCACATGCACTTCACCAAATGGTGGATTATGTCCTTTTTAATTACTACTCACCGAGAAGCTGAAAACTCTGTATCTCAATGCAGCTAGTATCTGATGACATCATTTAAAAAACTACAGTAGCTGAATTTTCAGAAATTCTCACAAAAATATGTATATATGACATACAGACATGTCCAGTGGTCAAAGCATGCTGGTACAGACACTGTGCTGTGTCAGTGTTTCTTAGGAAGTCAGCTAGATAGCTGAGGCCTTTTCAAGTATGCTGGATGCTGACAAATTCCTTTCCATTCAGACTCCTACTTCTCCATTTTGATCCGTGTGTGAATGGGCATCCCAGCCTGCACTGAGGCACCTTGCTAGAGCTAATTGCATTGCTTTACACACTCTGGTGTGGAAATTTGGAACTTGAGTTGTCTGACACAGAGAACAGGTCACAGAGCAGGTATAACTGCCCTCCAAGCCCTGTCTTTCTGTAAATGAATAGCACATAGCACAATCACATTTCTATACACTAACATTGCGATTAGAAAATTATTCCTACATAGTGTTATTGGCTTGGTAAAAGCAGCAGTATTCTCCAGTAAGATTATACTAATTAGCTTTTTTACCCTGACTTGCTGATTACCCTTTTTGATCATGCCTTATCTTTGTCTATTCAACCAGTATTAGCTTTTTTTGAATATTTAAGACTTCCATTTTAAGAAACTCTAGCATGTGAACACAAATTAATAAGTTTATGACCAACTGAGCCCTACTTAACTGAACTACAGGGGGTTACACAAGATGTTACCTGAATGGTATGACACTGCAGGGGCACTCAGAGGCTGCTTCTGCTAGGCAGACTCCAGCTCTTAAGAGTCCATAATCTAAGACAACCAGTCACCAATTAAGCATTGGAATAGAAAAATATAATGACTTTTTGTTTCCCCAAGACATTAATGCAAATGCAAAAAATTATTATAAATAGAGTATCCACCACCCCCAGTCACCCAGCAAGATAACTATTAATAATAACTGGTAGATTAATAAGGTAGCCAATTTGCTGGCACAGACAAACCAGACGACACTCTTTTGCGTGGGGAGACTAGCTGTTCTCAATTGTTTTTTAAAACCAGAAATTAGTCCTAAGACGATGAATTAAAAAAAATAGTCACCGATTGCTAATTCACTCCTCCCTGTCTCTGCGGCACTCCCCATTTCTGCCTCTCCTCCACATCTTTGCTGTCACAACAGGACTTCTGCCCCATCTCTCCATCTGCTTCCCCAGCTCTGTGATGATGGGTCAAAGCCATCCCCAGAAAATCTGCTGCACCTGCCTGCTTTAGTCCCCCGACAGCTGCCCAGTCATGGGGTTGAATCCCAGCAGTTATAATGGCACATGCGTTACTTATAAGCAGATTTGTCTCCTATAACTGGAGATAAGGAGAAGCAGCCCTCTCCCTGCAGCAAGGGGGCAAAAACATTCAACTCATTTGGGGACAGGGGAGCGGTACAGGTGGGCAGTCTCCCTCATTTTCTCCCCACACTAGTACCTGAACATGGTGCGTGGAGGGGTCATACACGCCTCTGCGCATTGCTATTAGCTTGGCATGTTCATCCACCACATCCTCTCGTTCCTCAGCAAACGCCAGGATGATGCTGAAACGCGGCAGGTAGAGCAGGGCTGGAATTCGATAGCTCCAGGTACTGTTCTGGAACAACGTCTCTTGCTTCAAGACAGGAAATGAAGCCATCGTGCTAGGGGGAAGATGACAAAACATATTGCATTTTGACCCACCCTTAGCCCTGCAAAAGGTGGCAGGGCAGATTCCACTTCTTTTTGCCCTTCCTGCTCAGTGGAACCTGTCCTGCATTGAAACATCATTTCTGTTACTTTCAGCTTTGTCTTCTTCATGTGCTTTTCCAGAGAGAACCCACGTGTTGCGTAGTAGCTGGCAACACAGACCAGACTTACCCCAGGATCAACCCTGGTTGATCTTACTGGAGTGACGCAAGGTGAGTACACTAAATACAGTTAATGAAAAAGCTGTCTGTGGTTTGTTTTTTCTTTTTAATTAAAGTCACAGGCTGGGATTTTTGTGGGTTTGCTTTGTAATTCAGAAGACTGTTGGTAATCAAATATTACAGTGTTTTCCCTCAGAAGACCATTACTGTCTTTGTTGATGGTGTTTCCAAAACCCAGTGCAGAACTTCTGCTTTGCCAAATATGAGCTTAAAATCCTATATAAACGACACATTGAGGCAATCCCTGATGCCAGCTGTGTCCCTGTTTGAGGATGGTAAGCACTGAGTGTGAAAAGAGAAAGAAAGGGAACATCCCTCCCCCTGTAAGATTAAAGAACAGTCTGAATGGTGTCCCACTGCTTTGGGTAGGACTTCTGGCTGGGCAAAAATCTTGTCATCTGTACAATGACTTAAAAGCAACATTAGCAAGGCAAACATGAGGGGGCACTTAGGGAAGCTGCCTCTATGTAACTGGTTTGTGCTATGCCCCCACATAGTCTCTCTTCCTCAGACCCACTCAGCCCTCTGTGCTCTTGCACCAAGTCTCTCCTGTGAACTCGTTTACCCAGGTAAAAACCCACTGGCTCACGGGAATTATGACTGAGCGGGGCGGGGAGTGATCTCTGACATGATGCACCAGAAATTGAAGGCCTGAATATCCTCTGCTGGGGGGGGAGGATTTAAAAAGAAAAAAAGAAAAATCAAGGCTTAGATCTCTGACACATCGAGTGGGTAGGATGACAGGGAGAAGATGACAATACACTATGAGTAAGAAATTCAAATGCCTCCTACCTCAGCTGAGACAAGACTTGCTGCGCTCTTCGTTGAGGATTCTCCTATTTACCTAAATCTTGGAACGCACTAGAGTGGCTATTGGCCATGTATCAGATCCTCATGTTTTTTGAAGGCTGTCTTGATAACTTAGGACCAGATGGAGGCAAACTGAAGATTGCTTATGCTGCTGCATGTACCTACCTGGAAAATAGTTTCCACTCTTCCATATTACAAGAGAAAAGATTATATTAGCCAGCATAACTAGCATAGACTTGGTTAACTCTTTTTTTTTTTTTTTTAAACAGTGCTGATTACTAAGTTAGGACGGCACAGATAAGCTAAGTTCATCCTCCTCAGACAGGACCATCACATTATGCTCTATCCAGATCCATAGCTAGGCAGTGAGTATTCAAATATTCCTTGCTTTCACCTTGCAGATGCTATAAGATGCTATCAGTGAGATTTTTTAACTCACAGCACTGATCAAAAGGGTCTGAACTGCACTGTTTTATAGCTAAAGCTAGCTGTACAGACCCCAGCAAGCCACAGCCCCATTTCCACTCAGATGCAAAGCCACTGGAGATAGAAGTCTATCTCCAAGGGGTAGCTGCTTGCTCCTCACTGTCACTAATGATATGGCAGTCTGAGAAAAGGCAGCAGCACTGCTACTCTGCAGAAATGTTACCAGAATTTGATCACAGCTATGCATGCAACAACATGAAGAAAATAGGAAGACCTTCCCAGAACAAATAACTGTGCTGTTCACTACTTACCAGCATGGATCTGGCTATTTATATAGACCACAGTCGTGGCTGTGTTCTCATGGCTCCTGAACAGAAGCTCACTAGAGTGCTTCCAGACTATTTAAAGCGAGATTATTTAAAGGGAGATTAGTCAGCCTGTCTAGTGCAGCACAGGTTCCCTAGCATTACTGCTCATGATGCCATTCTGATATT